CGGGCTACAGACTTTGCAGCAGGTGTATTATTGCATAACCCCGGAAACCCTAAACCCCAAACACCCTAAACCCCAAACCCCTAAACCCTAAACACCCTAAACCCTTAACCCTAAACCCTGAACCCCTAAACTAAACCTTAAACACCCCCAAACCCCTTATATAACTAAACCCTTAAACCTTAAACCCTAAACACCAAAACCCTAAACCCCTGAACCCAAACCCCTAAAGCTGAACCCTAAACCCTCTAGGACGATAGCAAATTTTAAACAGTCCTGCACAGCAGCATGGGCCACACGCTGGGCCGAAGTGTAGCTGATGTCCTCCACTTTTTTTAGGGTTTAGGGTTTAGGGGTTTAGGGTTTAGGGTTTGGGGTTATCGGGCTTTAGGGTTTGTTGTGTTGCAATTGTTTCAGGGCCATATCGGCATATCATGAATACAATGCAGGGTTTATGGGTTTGCAGGGCTTCAGTGCAGTGCTCTAGGGTTTAAAGGTTTCGGTACAGGGTACAGACGGGTTCTGGGATGTCCTGAACACCTTCAGCGCCTACATGCAAATCACCGATATCAATACTTAGTCCAAGCCTGGCCCTAAACACCCTAATTCCCCAGCAATCCAAACTCGAAGACACTAATTAGCCAAATGAAGCACACCCAACATCTGTCCCCAGCCGAGATCATCGAATGCAAGCGCTGGCAGAGGAATCCACGGCATTGAAGGCCATCTGCGCAGGGCTCAAAATAAGCTCAAGGGCCACAGTATACTAGCATAATATAATATGTATACATTCGAAACTCTTGGCTTTTCTGCCTAGAAGGATGCACTGAACTCGGGGTCGCATTGCCACGAACTAAGGCCAATCTCCGACTGCTCTACCCAGCAGCTAACTTCGGGTTGCACAGATGTAGAGGCCAAGGGTTTATGGAACCGGGTTTATAATTACAAAGCTTACATACCCTACCTGGGGCAGTCGGATTCATGACCGAATGGCTTTGCATCTCAGCACATGTGATATCTCACACGTGGTCCAAAATCATTAAAGATCTCTAGAGAGTGGCCCTCCACTCTTCAGGCGTTCTTGCCCTTTGACTTTTTCGAGCCATTGCTCTTGCCACTCTTGTTGGGGTCAGGCTCAGCCTTAGATAAGACTAGAGTGTAGGTTTAAGAGTTTAGGGTGCAGGGTTTAGGGTTAAGGGGTTTGGGGGTGTTTAAGGTTTAGGGGTTTAGGGTTTAGGGTTTAGGGTTGAAGGGTTTAGGGTTAAGGGTTTGGGGTTTAGGTTTTGTTTTCCCCTTCTCGATTTGTGCATGTCATCCTTGCACAGGGGCCATGCCAATCTTCTCTGTATCGTTCCAATACATGCAGCTAAGCAGCGAAGAGTGCTTTGATCGGGCGAACCGCATTGGTGTAAGACTCCACGGCTTTCTCCAATGTTTGGACAAGCGGGAGCAATGCCGCCTCATCTTTGGCACCCTCGACGAGGCGCCAATCGAGTGCCTCGGTTGCTGCCTCCATCGGGGCCTGGTAGAGCCGGATCTGGGAAATGTAGCCTGAGGCCAAAGTCTCCGACCTGGGATGGGTTTAAAGTACTGATCATAATCCTTTGATCTATTCACCCCCTCCCCCTCCTAGATATAGGCTGCCACTAAGGTGCACTTTGCGCTTGTTGGGATCCTCGATCTTTTGGTCACCCTGGATGGTCCGTATCCAATACTTAGCATCGGTCAAAGTACTCCGGCCCAACTTCACTTTCCCATGGGCTTTGGCACTGTAGTTCGGCGGCTTCTTCGTCTTCCCGTCACCCTTCAACCCACCGTCATTCTTTGTCTTTCCTTTGCCCTTGCCTTTTCCCGTGGGACCCGGGTCCTCGCAACGAGAGGCTGGCTGCGCTGTCCTTCCACTGGGATCGATCTTCATCGGCGGGACGCCGGACCTGGATGAAGAAGCTTCGGTTGCTTATAGTTTCGGGGGATTTTTCAATAGAAGCTTTAGGGTTGTTCGAGTTTAGCATTAGGGCCGGGTTTATTCTAATTGTTGTTGGGGTATACATATATAGGGAGTTTTAGGATTTGGGATTTTTTATAATTACTGCGGCTTTGTACACTGGGTGATTTTTTGAATACAAGCTTTCGGGGTTTTTGAGCTTAGATTAGGGCCGGGTTTATTGGAATTGTTGTTTGGGTGAGGAGTTTTAGGTTTTTGGCATTGAGTTCACAGCTTAATATAGTACTAGCAGTTATCACTAGTTATAGTTCCGGGTGATTTTTTTGTAATACAGGCTTTCGGGTTTTTGGAGTTTAGGTTAGGGCCTGTAATTGTTGTTTGGGTAGGGAGCTTTAGGGCTTGGAATTCAAATTACGGCTTAAATAATACTAGTGGTTCTCAGACCATCAAGGATACAATGCAGCTAACGACAGCCCTAGCCTCAATATTGTGGTAGAGGGTGGAGACAAAATTTACAGGCCGGCTTGTACATAGCTATATGGCAACCCAATAATCATGTACTTGGGTTACGGATTGTATTATGTAGATTAGCATTTAATTTGGGAGAGTTTATGATTATCATCAATAAGGTAGGCCTAAGTCTAGTCATTTGTACAGCTGCACTCGATAACTACCTAATCTAGTCTATTATTTCGAAGATCATGTTACATAATAGTTTTGCAATGGCACCTCAGATCTCGAGCCAATGCCCCGTCCATGTTGACATGGATGTTCTGGTTCGTCGTGACACTGTTCTCATGGCTTGACGTAACCTTCGCCTCTTCCCAACAGAGGAACAGTTCGTGATCCTGATCAAGTCACATATCCCAGCAGCATCAACCGACCAAGGATAAAATTACTAAACACCATTCAAGAATCCGCACTCTGTGGAAAGTCGGGGTGGACATACCACCATGGCACCCCTGGGAGCTTGTCTCCAGAGGTTGCCTGTTTCTCTTTTTTTGCCAGGCGCAACGCCTCAGCGTCGGACTGTCCATGCTCCTTGACAATGTCCTTGAACATTTTGAATCGCTCACCCCCAAAGAAGAATTGGCGGTCCTGTTGCACAGTATCCTGGACTATACTGCTCTCCCACCAGACTCCGTTGCATTCCATGAAGAGGTCAAGTAGCTCCCCAAACTTCCGATCTTAGTACATATATGTAGAGATGCAGCCACACACTACCCAACAAAAAACACTGCCTTGAAAGCTCATACAAGTGCTCACCCAAGTCACCCTTCTGCGCTTGCTTTGCTTTCTTCATGATTTCTGGAGGTAGGTCATCACCTAGAGTCCACAAAATCTGTTGCATTATTTTCAGGTTTATTTATTATTTATAGTAATTAATTATATATTAGTATAATAAAATTATAAGCTATTGCCCTAGAATAATAAAACAGTCTGTGTACATGTTGGTGTGGCTATTGAAGGCATGGGGCGACTCAAAGTTCGCATCATTCTAGCACGGGCTGCCCTCCTTGCTAGATCCGCAGCTTTAGCTTCCTCCACCTCCCCATCCTCATCTCCCTGCTTAGATTCTGTGACCTGGTGCTGCTCGGCGCTCTGTGCTATTGCCTCCTCCTTGGCGGCTGGCAGCTGCTCCTCTGGCTTCACAGCCAAGATACTCTTGGCCTGGCGGCTTCTCTCCTGCATGTGGCATATGCATCTTTGAGGATAAGGGATTAGGGCTCCGAGGGATAGCCAGTCTGAATGGGGGTATGACATCGGCTCCAGTCTTTGTTTTGAAGCAAAGTTAAAGTATACATATTACCCCGGCCCCTAAACCCTAAGGGTACAAGGCACACATATACAAACCACACATACAAATATACATATGTACATGTATATGTGTGCATGTGTATATATATATATATAATATCAGCAAAGACCCACAAACCCTAAACCCATGCTCTGATAAACCCTCATAAATACAGTCACACAAACATAAGTCTTCGAACTATTAAATAGTATGTACCGAAGGACAACAGCACATGTATTAGATTAAAGCTAGATATGGTCCTCGATGTCATCCGTTGCCAGTCTCAGCAGTGCACCCTTCACAGCAGCACTATCCAGATCAGGTGCCACCATGTAGGGGTCATCCGAACAGAGATCGACAATTCCGCCAGGATTGGCACTCTCCATTGTGGCTGGGATTTCCTCTTCCGGCTCCACCTTCAGCAATAAGGCCTGCAGTGATAAGTCTAATCGATATCGGGGGTCTAAGTAAGGCCGGGTCTACAGGAAAAAACACACATCATCTATTCACCCATCAGCCTCAAGCTTCTCAACCAGTTCTGAATCTTCGACATCATCGCAGTCGATCACAGGTTCGCCAAGCACCTGGCATTGTAACAGTTGAGCACACTCAGACAAAAAAGGGTCTTAAGAATAGAACTCGAACAGGTGTGGCTATTTGGGTCCAGGGCAAAATATCAGGCAATTTTCGGATAGAGGGTTGCCAGAGGGGTTTGGGATATCTTTAAATTTAAGCACATGTCAGAGTGTTCGGATTTGGGTTTGTGGGTGGGGTGCATGGTTCAGGACTGGTTTGATCGGAGCTTTGCCAGTATTACTTTGTAGCTTGCATTGATGATGTCGTCTGTACACATTGTCTACAGCTGCAGGCTCCAATGATAAGACAATCGGTCCGGGTAGGATAGCTTGCATCCAATGTTTGGGAAGGGGGTGCTTTTCCGGAAGTAGCCACAAAAGGATAAGGATTCGGGTTGGGTTACTACAACATGTAATATTACGTAATTACTACAACATCCAGGCAAGCTTGCAGGGATGGGATAGGACAGGATGTGTGTATATATGCATGGCTACAGCAGAGTACATTATTACCAATACAGTTATAATTTCATACAATCTACAAACAAGCTTTAGTATATTATATATCTACAAATTATTATTACATATGTATATATATA